AGAGAGAGAGAGAGAGAGAGAGAGAGAGAGAGAGAGAGAGAGAGAAATATATAGATAAGGGGCCAAGACATAGTCTGCAAGGACACAGTCACAGTTACCTACTTCCTTCCTCTTTCCTAGTCCGGACCCATTGAAATTTCTACCACCTCCCAAAGGGCCACCAGCTGGGGACCAAACTTTTAACACATGAGCCTTTGGGGGATATTTCAGTTCCAAACTACAATGAATGATGGAGTGTTAAGAGAAGAGTCCAACATTTTATGTTATCTGCTTTATATTCTGAGATGAATATAACATGCCTATTTTTCCATAATTCAGTAAATTTCTGGTACCACTGAGAGTGTTGTGATATGTTAATTCAGGATTAGACAATGGGTCCCCTCCTTAAAAAGCTATTAGTATATATTCATTGTATAAAATATTGGTTCTTATTGTGACAATTTCATACATGCGTATAGTGTACTTTGATCATATCCCACTTCCTGCTACCCTCTTTGACTTTTCCTTACATTCTCACTTTGTGTCTATACTACAACTGCAAGAATAAAGATGTTTTCACTCTACCAAGTGAAGAATCGTGACCAGTTGTTCTGACTGGGGAAGAGACAACACAGTTTGGGATTTGATAGATAGAAAGTACATATAACTACATAGTCCTTCTAGAAACAAGGACTTTAATAGCTTTGTGTATTTTCTCTTAACTTGTGGTATATATGTGTATATTTGTGAATTTTGACCATTTGGTTTCTCTCTTCTTATATTTATGATTTTCTATACAAATCTTTATCTTTTAGGTAACAGTATATTGATAGAGACTGACTGAATCTGAAGAGTAGATAATATAACAGTGTAGTGTACAGTGACTGGGAGTGCTTCTTTCCTCATGTGGGGGAACAGATGAGAACCTCTTCATTTGTCAGGTGGCTTTGTCATGTAGATTTGTTGTCTTATGGAAGTTCAAATGTTTGTAATATGGTGTAAAATGTATGCAAACATAAAGAATAAAGTCAAAGGTGTGGACAGAGTCTAGTATCATTTCATTGCATTTGTGTTCCAAATCCACTCCCTGGTGGTCTTCTTTGTGTTCTTGGAACTGCACCTTGTAAACACTTTTTGCCATCTGACACAATGTGAGATTGTTGGTACAATGCACTGGAAGGGCCACTGCAAGGCAAGTTAATTCTCTTTCTTTCTTTCTTTCTTTCTTTCTTTCTTTCTTTCTTTCTTTCTTTCTTTCTTTCTTTCTGTTTTCTTTTCTTTCCTTCCCTTCCCTTCCCTTCCCTTTTTTTCCCTTCTCTTTCCTTTCCTTTCCTTTTTTTCTTTTCTGTTACCAGGGATTGAATCCAGGGATGCTTAATCACTTAGCAACAATCCCAAACTATATTATTTAAAAATAGTTTTATTTAGTAGTGGATGAACACAATAATTTATTTAGTTTATTTCTTAATGTGGTGCTGAGGATTAAAGCCCGTTCTGCACACTTGCATCAACAGTGAGCTACAATTCCAGCACCCAACCCCCGCCTTTAAAAATTTGAGACAATCTTATCCTACATTTCCTATGTTGCTGAGGGCATGGATAAGTTGCTGAGGCTGGCTTTGAACTTGTGATACTCCTGCCTCAGCCTCGAAAATGCTGGGATTACAGGCATGGGCCACCATACTGGGCTGTTTTCCCTTTTTGTTGCAACTTCCAGTGGTGTACAGAAGGCCCACCTTTTGGTGACATAATACAAAATGTCTACATTGATGTATATATCTGTATTTTTAGTCTCTGTCCTAGGTTCCTAAAAAGTGATTTCTCTCCATGATTCCTGAAAATATCTCCTAAAAACCTTGGAATTTTCTCTTTAGATGAAGGGAGAATCTATTGTTTTTAATTATAAGCCCCTTTCAGCCATCTGAGTTTATATTAATAAGAAAATTTTTAGAAAGCCCCTTGGGTCACCTCAGGATGGGGGCAGGTTACTAAAGGAACAAATTTTATGAATAAAAAATGAAAGAGGGGACAAAATAGAGCTGAAGGTTGAGTTAATTAATTGCAAGCAATCAATGATTTGATCAATCATAATGACACAGTAAAATATCCATAAAACATTGAGGGAGCTTCTGAGTTGATGAACAACAATGTATTCATGTTTCTGGGGGTGCTGCCTCTCAATCTCCATCACAGGACAGGTATTCTTGTGCTCGAGGCTTTTCTAGGCCTCACCCTATGTGCATTTCATCTGGCTATTCACTGTATCCTTTACAAGATCTTTTATAATAAATTGGTTAGTAAACAAAGTTGTTTCTGTTGATTTTCTGAGCCCATCTAGAAAATGGATGTAGAAAATCACCCAATCTAAGAATGGATCTTGGGAATGGAAGATGGTTATTTGGAATGAGATAGAAATTTAGGATACTACAAAAAAGCTCTAAAGGAGAAATGTGCCTGTTGGGATGTGGAACAATAACTTGTGAACTGCTCCTGACCTGAACAAAGAATCTTAAGGGACAGAAAGAGACCAAAGGAAAAATGCTCCAAACAATCTCATAAGTTATTTTGTAAGTTTCCAGTTCCATATACATTTTCTGGAATTCAGCAAAGCAGGAAGAAGATTTCAAAAGAAAGACACTACTAACCTCATGAAGCTAGGGGCTAACATTTGATTGGATCAAATACCTGATTAAATATCAGATAAAAACAACATAGCAGACTAGATTTCCTAATGGGAAACCATGTTACTCAATATTTCTCAGTCTCCAGGGAAGTCCTGTCCCTTTGGATCATATATTCTACCTTTGTACCCTATAAAATAACCTGACCTTAATCCCTGGTGGTGTGGTTCTTCTTGCTCTTGAGATTGCACACATTATTCTCAGAGGGTTTCTATATTCACTTTTCACTTTCTAATGATGCTCTTCCTCTCTTTACTAAAGCCAAACACATCCTTACATTCTTTTCTGTGGTATGGGCAAGGGCCTGAAAGTCCTGAGTAGAGGTTTTCTTTGCCACTGGAGAGACTACATTGGACCTCCTTACAGTGAGAGGAACTTCAGAAACAGATGGGTAAACCTGAGGAGCCATCTTGTGATTGTCATCTGAAGTCATGGGGGGCATACTTTTAAGACTGTGGGGTCCACTTAACCTGTAGGACTCTCTTGTAATTCCTTAATTGAATTATAGGACACCCTGATATATGCAGAGAATTGGTGTGGAAACCTCCAAACATTTGGTGTCACAAATGTTGGAGCGGGGGGTATTATGAAAGAGGACACCTGGTGAGTTGGAGCGTTACAGATCCATTTCAACCTTCCAGTGGGCCATGGTTCCACCTTCCTCAATGAATTCTGCACCTCAGTCTCATTGGGGACCCTGTCATACATTTTTTTTCCTTACTTGGCTATTCTGCCTCAATCCAGAGGTACTACTATTTTTTCCCTATATATGCCATTTCTGCATTCTTTTGAGGATTCTTTTACTTCTTTTAGTAGTTAACTCATTTTTTTTAATTTGATTCTTTTTCTTTTTTCTCTGTGCTGGGGATTAAATTCAGGGCCTCAGCCATAAATAGGTCTATGTTAAGTTTTCCTTTTCAAATGATTCATGTGGTTTCTAGACTTTGAGAGAAGCATCTAAACTACAATAACTTCGTACTTGTTAAAGGAGGGTGCTGAATTGCTCACAGCATGTCAGAGTAATTGAGAAATTAATCAACTTAGTAAATGCTTAACTCTAACAATAATGTTATATAAATATGTTGATTTTTGGTGGTTTTTTAAGTATTTTCTACATGTAAATATATTACTTGTCAGTTTGCTTCAGAATTACATTGTCTGACTTAGAATGTGATGACATTAATGCTAGATCATGTTGCTCAGAATTGCTGGGCCATACCATTGTCACTGTATTTTTCTTATTTCATTTAACTGCTTCATCTTCCTTTTCAACTAACCTGTTACTACTTGGAATGCAGATTGGTTCATTATGGTGCCAAATGGCAATATGGGGGTGTTTGATTCAACAGAAATACAAAATTGAGGACAACTGAAGTTGTTCTTGAAAGAAGCCTTGATCAAGCTTGGCTTTCTGTTGGGAGCTACCATTTAGGAATTGAGTGTCCCTTGACCTTGAATGATGAGAATGTGGAGATGTGGCAAGCCAGCCATGGGCTGTGTGTGTGTGTGAACTATGAGCACTGAGCACACAAAGTGGACTGAACCAACATAGCCCAGCTGTTTGGGCTGACGTCGCTCTGGTCTTTTTGCTTGCTCTGCCATGATCTCTATACAGCTCATGAGATGGGCATGACCTCTCCAGATGTCAATCAATCTGCTGACAGCAGACATCATGTAGGTAGACTCAATCCCTGAAATCTGACCCCTTGCCTCATTTGAATGGCTTCTTCCCAATAAAAGTGTTCAGCATATGTTCACTCTCTCTCTGGCTCTCTCTCTGCATGGACCCCCTAAGGTTGGAGGAGCTGTCAAAAGACCTAAGGTATTTCTCTGTCT